ATATATATATATATATATATATATATATATATATATATATATATTTTCCTCAGAACTGATCTTTTTTTTTTTCCTTTTTTTCTTTCTACTGATTCTGAGAGAGAAAAAAAATTGGTACAAAAAAAATAACAATAAAGATATTTCACCTCTAGAGCGGCCAAAGAACGTCGACCAAATGCTCTGATACCAAATGATAAGTGCCAACAATGCTGGATTTTTGCAAAGCTAGAGGTCCTTCTAAAATCCTTGCAAAACGTTCACAGAGAAAGCTAACTTAACAGATTGATTCCAACCAAGAGCTGGTTAGAAGATGAATAAATCTTAGATCGAACTTGGAATCTATGATGGTCACTCTTAGATACCAAGACAATTCACTTTAGAATTAACTTGATCAAAACTAATTCAATGAATTGGTTTAAACATCAAACCTAAAGCAAGATTTGAAAAAGAATAACACCAAAAAGGTATCAAGAAAACGCCAAAGGTTTTGTCTGTATTCAACAATTCGTCCAAACATGAATATACATGCTTTTAAATAGGTCCAAAAGATAACCCTAACATAATAAAGTTCAGCAACCAACCACAAATCACTAATAAATGCTATTATAAATACAAATTGGAAGAAAATAAGGCATTCATAAATTGTCTTAATTGGTAATTTAACTACCAATGACAAGTCTTCTAATCACTTTCCAATGTCAGCCACTCCATTATTTTCTTCATTTGATACTTGAATCTTTTTTGTATTGCTTCTTGTAATTGCTCTTTCGGGTACATGAAAGTGATCAGTTGTTGGATTCATATCAGATGGTCACTCTTAGATTCCAATCGACTCACTTCAGAATTAACTTGATAAAAACTAATTCAATGAATCGGTTTAAACATCAATTCTAAAGCAAGGTTTGAAAAAAGAATAACACCAAAAAGGTATCGAGAAAACACAAAGGTTTTGTTTGTATTCAACCATTTATTTCAAAATTGAATCTTACCTGCCTTTAAATAGGCCCACAAGATAACCCTAACATAATAAAGTTCAACCACCAACTCTAAATCACTAATAAATGCTATTAAATACAAATTGAAGAAAATAAGGCATTCATAGATTGTCTTAATTGGTAATTCAACTACCAATGGCAAGTCTTCTAATCACTTTCCAATGTTAGCCACTCCATTATTTTCTTGATTTGATACTTGAATCTTCTTTGTATTGCTTCTTGTAATTGCTCGTTTAGGTAAATGGAAGTGATTAGTTGTTGGATTCATATAAAAAATTGGACACAATCTAGAACGTTCATAGATCATCTCATTCAACGGCTAGAATTCAAAACTAAGGTCGGAAAGGCTCTAATTGGAGTAGGTATTTTCGGTGGAAGATCCAGAAAAATCAAGAATGGAATTAATGACAATTATAGACGTTTGAGGATCATCCATCTATAAATTATTAGGTAGGGACAACTAATAAGAGCAAGAAGTTAGCTTAATCGAGTCCTCAATCGCGAGTTACAATTTTGAGTATTGTGTTCTTGGGTTTTCCTCGAATTTGGGAGCTACAGTTTATCATTCCTCCTCAAACTTGTTTCTTCACCATGTGACTTATGGTGAATGCTGGAAAAGCCATGGAAATCAGGATAGGGCAATAGTATGCATTGATTTTCATTTAGTAGTTGATAGGAGGTTTATTTCTTTCCTTTTTTATTTTTTTTTCAAAGACTATTGAAAATGTTTACTAAAACCACCCCACCTAAATAGGGGTGAAAGTTCTTTATTTATAATCATTTACAGAATAGAGAAATATGGTAAATTACAAATAATATGAAAAGAGTAATAAAAGAAAAGAATAATAAATGAATATAATATATTTGCTTTTAATAAAACGGCAAATATGGCAAGCTGTAATGTAAGACAAATATCAATAAACGGTCAACTATCCTTAACACCCCCTGCAAGCTGAGCGTCGGATTTGAACAAACGTGAAGCTTGGATCTGAAAAATTCGAAGAGAGGTCGAGAAATACGTTTTGTGAAGATGTCAGCAACTTGGAGATGGGAAGGTACATATTGGGTGCGAAGTTTGCCAGCGATAACAAGTTCTTGAAGGAAATGATAATCTAGTTTAACATGTTTAGCCCGCTTGTGAGAAACGGGATTAGAGCTAAAAAAAAATAACACTTTTGTTGTCATATAAGAGTAAGGGCTGCTGTGAAATAGGGAACTTGAGGTCAGGTAAAAGATGTGTAACCCAAAGAAATTCAGCAGCAGTCGTGGCAAAAGCACGATACTCAGATTCACAGCTGGAGCGTGAGACAGTAGGTTGCTTTTTGGCACTCCAAGAAACGTGATTGTTACCAAGATAAATAGAATAGCTGGATGTAGAACGACGAGTATCAGGACAACCAACTAAGTCAGCAGTCGAGTAAGCGACTAGCGTACTAGGAATAGTGAATAGACGAAAGGTAAGACCAAAGTGGAGTGTTCCTTTGACATAGCGAGAAATACGTTTGACAGCAAGAAAGTGATCTGCAGTAGGAGCATGCAAGAGTTGGCTGATAGAATTGACATCATAAGCAATATCTAGACGCGTAATAGTCAAGTACTGAAGGGCGCCAACAAGAGATCTATAGAGAGTAGGATAAGAGGAAGGAGAACCATCAACGAAGGGCGCCAACAAGAGATCTATAGAGAGTAGGATAAGAGGAAGGAGAACCATCAATAGGTGTTGAGAAACAACCATGGGAGTGTAGGCTAGTTTGCTATTATCTCGAGCATATTTTAACTGACTAATAAAGAGACCATCAGGAGTGGGTGAACAACCATGGGAGTGCAGGCTAGTTTGCTATTATCTAAAGAGACCATTAGGAGTGGGTGAAGGTGAAACTTCAAGACGAGCATATGTAGAATTAGAAGCTGAGACAAAGGACAATTGAATATTTGTACGGTTGAAGTTGGAAAACTTTAAAATGTTTTTAACAAAGCTTAAACCTACACGAGTGAAACCCAATAAATTTCAAGTTTATTTCTTTAACCACTCAAACATATCAACATTTGTTAAAAGATTTTATTGTTTTTTTGTTTTCATTTTGCAATGGTCAAATGGTCAAAATTGACTTCGTCTTTTGTGGAGATTAAAGGGGATCGAGATTGAATCCCGGCCACAAAAGTCTTTTGTTGGGAGACTATAAATACCCACAATATGTTATGTAAAAATCATATTCGTGGATGAATGTAATTCAGAT